TCTCTTCGGTTTCGATATCAATGGAGCGCAAGGCTGCAGTAGCTGGCAACTCAGTTGTACTAAACGAAAATTACAGTTTCTGTATCTTACTCTGTTTCCTCATAGGCCTTGTGGTGCCTGTTCCACCGAGTTTCTTGATTCCTTCCACTAACTCTCTCTTCCGTGCCTCCACGTCGACGATATTCGCTAGAAATTTGTGAATATTCGCTATAGTGTACAACAACTAGACAAGTTATTCGTACTTGGAATGGAAACGTTAAGCGGTCAAGTAAACAATTTGTGTAAAAGTTTTGTAAAATGTTAATTCAGTAAACCGCAAATTCTCGCAAAAAATACGAATCTGATAGGCGAATTTTGATTGTGACTGTGACGATTTAAAGCGATTTTTTTTCAATTCTGGAGACACTACTGAACTTCGCTCATGATGTCTTAAATGATGGTGTTCTAAAAATCTGGAAAAGCTTCGCTACAGCAAGTTCAATGTTCGGAAAGCGAAAAGTTCGATTTGAAGGCATAGACTTAAGGTTGAAAGAAAAGAAAGTTCGTTCGAGTTCAAGCTGCTATGATATCGATAAATGATTCTGAACTGTAATCAACGCGCTGATTGTGCGAAAAAAAATTCGATATTATCCGAAGAAACACGTAGAGAAAGAGATTGATAGGTTGGGCATAGGGAAAGACCAACAGAGCTTATATGGGCGCACCAGAACTCCGTCCTCAGGGGCGGGACCCGTACAGAGGTGGGCGATGTCATGAGCGAAACTTCTTAGTTAGCTTTTGTAACATTCCAGTTGCCGAAAGAAATGAACAAAGATGAGGGATGGGTCAATAAGTGAAATGACGGAGACTCATCAGCGGTGGGCGGGGCGTTCTTGCAAGGGGCGGTACTTTCTATTAAGTTCGTAAACGTAATAAACGAATTGGCGGAAGCCGGAAACAAAAGTAAAAGTAATCAAGGCATGATGGACATGCATAAACATAGCGAAGCTACGCCGGCGAGTAGCGGGCTGTGAGATTGAATGGAAGTTACTGATCAAAAAATATATATGTAACTAAGTTTGAAAATGTTCCATAGCCTGGGAAAAATGGATAGAGGAGGGCGGGGTTTGCATCAAGATCTAAGGGTCGAATAGCGTGATAGGGACGAATAGACAACTCTGTTCAAAAACACTCTCGATTGCGGGAAATAAGTGAAGAGAGGTTGAAGAGGGGATGTCCAAATCCTTAGAGAATCCTTAGAGATAAGAAGAGCCTGCATTGAGGTAGGCAATGCCGGGATCAAAAATAGATAGCTCTGTCGAAAAACGCAAAAAAAACGTCTCAAAAAATGGTTGCAGGTTATAGGGGGATGATGGAGGGGGAAGAGTGAAAAAGCGGTCAAATCCTTTAAGTGGGCGGGGTTTGCATCAAGGTGTGCGGAGCTATCACTTGGGAATTTACGGCTTTGCACGAAGACATCCTGAAGCTGACCTTCGATAGCATGAGCCTTTAGTATTTGAAGGCACAGTTCACCATTTAAATTACTTTTGATATATCCCGCTAGGATGAATTTGTTGGACTCCCTTATGCCGTATGTAGAACAAACGTAGCCACATACATGCCTAAAAATCCGCACTAATGAAACCACCGCTATACCTCTCCTCTTGGCCGGTTGCGAATACTTGCTTGCGTTCCTCTGTCTGGCCTTCCTGCATTTTGGTCCCAAGCTAGCTGCAAAATGATCTATAGAGCACAGAGAATATAATAGCAGACTCTTAGTCTGATAGAGTTTTGGCTTCGCCTGAAGAGGAGCGTATCACTTGTGAAGCACAACAGCCACGAACTCAAACAGAATAGTCTTTTCCAATGGTGCTGTTATACACCTGTACGTACGCACAACATAACACCTCACCTTGCGCAACAGATGACTCTTTCAACGCTTCGTATCTGGATGGTCTATCAATGCGAAGCTCTGGTAAAAGGTTTTCCTTCACTATCGCAAGAAAGGTTCTTCCACTAATTGAAGCAAGGAATATGAAAAAAATGTATAACATCACCTTGCTTATTGTTTGAGATAGCCGCTACACGTTCATGTATCTCGTGGAGACTTCCTGACGAAAGCGAATCGAAGGGTATTGCAATAAATTCTTCGTTACCTTCCGGCACCTGAAAGTTGAGAAACCGGATCTATGACCAATCTTGTAAACTGAGTAGCTGTTCTCTTTTTTCTGCACCTGTTCAAACCTTTTGCCTACTTCTCATAGTGTCTCCATTCAGCGAAAGTCATTTTGTCAGATATGCGGCGCAAAAGTAACTTGTTCGTTCCAAGGTTGCAAATTTTTCTTATTTTTCATTCATTCGATACGCTATATGAAATAGCATTAAAAAAGAATAAAATAAGAAAGACCATCGTAGGAGAACGAGAAATGAATTACTAACTAAAAACAGTTAGAACAAGACACTACAAACCTAGACACTACACTAGTTTTCTTGCAAAACGGAAGCCTCGGATGAATGTGGACTAGTGATGTGCAAAAATGACAGTATAGCGGCTTAGCAGAGTTTCAACAAGGGTACCGAGACTGGCATTAGGCCTATGTAGTATAAGAGATCCGCCAATGCAGAAGATGGTGGAAAAAAATAAATTGAAATGGGAAACTGAAATCGTAAAGGGATTTAATCGAATGCCTTTAAGATGGATGTTCTTCAAAACTGACAACAACGTCAAGGGAAAGCAGGACGAAGAGTCAGCTTCCTACAAAGAATTTACGAAGCCCTTCGCGACCGTGCATAAAGGTCATGTAAAAGAAACCGAAGGTGAAATGCAAGTTGGATATTAGACATCGCAGTTTTCTAGAGATGACGTCAAACGAAATGTTCAACAGAACCAAGGCGCGTTTGAGCACAGGCAAGATCAGAGTGCATGGCTAACAACAGAAGTTGGGAGCTGCTCACCAGTGCAGCCGTAGAAAAGAGGAAGAGTAATCGGATGCTCTGTATGAGGAAGAGAGGTGTTCTTCCATCTGGTCAAACAGTAAAGAACAGCGGGCCACTCCTAGGAAGTCAGAAGCATAAAGCATGCTGTGATAGGTGAAAGGGGTATGGAAATGCATGGGGGAACATTTAGAGAATCCTTCCACTACGATTCTGCGAGAACACCTATGCCCAAGTTCTGGATGACATTCTCTATATTTTAACAAAGCGAGCGTTGGCCTGAAGCTAATTTTTGAATAATCCTCCATAACACATGTGCAACTGACCTCGACTACGTGATACTTCAAGATTATCTCAATGATTTCGGCCATCTCTTCTTCAGAAAGGCTTTGAAGATCCTGAGCGAGCCGAACCATTTCCTTGTGTGTCAAAGAAGCACACGGCTCATCATTTTCAATGTCACGTAGACTGTCTAAAGTGACTGTCTCATGATTCACTTGTTCCGCCCCCTCGTCATCTTCGTGAGTCGGTTTCTCCACTTGCTTGTCACCCTAAAATACTGCCCTACTCGTCAGAACTGGAAAAATTATCGGATCAAGATAAACCTGGAAAGGCGCAGTTCAACATAATTTTTGGTTATTCAGACGGCAAAATCGAAACTAGCATAAGTTAATAAAAATATTAACAGCAAAAGCAACACCTTATTTAACTCGTAAGGTAGAAACTAGAAAAAAAATCGTAGCAGCACAAAGAAGTAGTAATATAAGAGTAAAACATCTCACTCCACACAGCGATCAGTTGATTACTTGCTGAATGTGTGGGTCCTGGTACGAATAGCGCAACCTG